AATTGTCAAAGTGGTTCTACTATCAGAGTATCAATCAAAGAATATTTTATTCACTTTTACTTCATGAAATATTAGCTATTAAAAACTTAATTATTATCATTATATCATACTTATTATTTATTTATCGAATTCATTTTTCAGGTAGCTTGGTTTATAAATCCATACTCACATTCAAAGGTAACCGTTTAGGTATAGTTAACGGATACACTTATAATAATCACAAAAGCATGACGTCACAACAATCATGTTTAGACGAAAACAGATTATTTTTAAATCATGGTAGGTACATACATTGACACAAGATACCTGATCCCCCAAGCCTACTTTGTGGACATTTTAGTTGAGCATATTAATGTGGAAAACAGTGCTAAATAAATGTAATCTTTACCCTGTAAGCCGTTAAATTTATTTTGGTATGACTTCCTGATCGTGTCATTAGTGAATAACATTGTAAGAAAGTGTTGAAACCAACTTGATTTTTAACGTATAGTTATCGATAATATATAATAGATAATCGAGTAAGGACATTGCGGTCAAGAATTGCTTTGCAAGTTGAGGCGGAGCGTGGTTTGAGTCACATAATATATATAATATATATATATATATATATATATATATATATTACATCTGGCTAGGTGTAATGAGTGTCATTAGAATGTTAGATTCTTGATTTGAACCACCGCTCACAAACATTAAGCGATTGAAATTAAAGTTAATTTCGTGCGTAATTCAACAAATGCTTTATTTTATTTTTCTCAATTATAATTAGTAAATAACTTAAAACTACTTACAAATAAAACCTTAAAATTGTGATTTGTTAACGTATTTTAAACTGAAACAATAACATTCATTGAAAGAGTGCTCGTGAAATTGAACAACGGGTTTTAGTAATTTGCGGTCCATACACCATGCTGCTTGTTTACACGGATGTTAAGTAACGAAATTTAATATTGGCTTTAAATAAAAATGTATCATCTTAACGTTTATTATTTTTACGCACTCATATTATTTTAAGTCGATATGTCTAAGCCAAAGTATTTTTAATATCTGGAATTACTTGTAAAAGACTACATCTCCTGGCAGAAAAATCAGTGTTGATGACAATCGGGTAAACAACATTTTATAATCAACGTGGTCATATGCACTGTTCTGTGGTGATATAACAAATATTGCAGGATGCAGAACATAGGAGAATTCAGGCAAAGATGATTAAGTGTTAAGTCAATTTCATTGTAATGATCTTATTCTATTTACTTTCATCCTGTACTTTGAATTAAATTTTCCAACACAATGCGTTGTTTTTATCACACTAATCAATAATCGTAACTTGCCATTTTATGGATATATAAGTGGAATAGATTTATTAATGTAAAATATACTACTTTGTCCCCAAGGTAACAGCGGAAGGAGTGTCTTTTGGAAATTCTATGAGAAGCTTGGATCGACTAGACAACGTTGCAAACTTTGCTTCAAGATATTGAGTAGAAACATCGCCAGGCATTTGCGTTTGAAGCATCCTAAAGTTTATCGAAAAATGCAAGAAAAAAAAGCCTGTTTGAAAAAGAAAAAAAGACCTGTTTTCGGTGAGCACCTTTAAAGCACGAATTGAAGTTTACATTAATGATTTCTTCTAATACGTTACATTTTTTTAGGTAGACCAAAATCAAACTTATGTTGGGCAAAAAAATACTGCAGCAATATTGGTGGCAGAAAGTATCAGTGCGACATTTGTAGCAAAATACTAACTCTGCCAGTTGGGCTCTTTGGTAATATGAAGCGTCACATTCGTAGCAGACATCCTCGTGTTTATGATAAGGAAATGAATGATGTGGTTGGTACCAGGATCGAAAATGTAGATATCCCGGCTTCTGAGACCAAAGAGTATTTAGAAGACGTGGAACGAGTAAATACAACAAATAAATCTGAAAGAGGAGGTGATGATGATTCCGACCAAGAAGAAGCAGAATCCGAATTAAAACAGGACGGTAGTGGAACCGTGTTGAATGAAGCGAATTCCAATTCTGAAGAGAAAATTAAAAATGTTTGTACTAAAAGTGTTTCGGAAAGAAGTAAGTATCAATACAATGTTTGTTATCGTGTATTTGTTTGTGGAGATATGTGTATTGTTACTTTGTCCTTAGCATTTACTAAAGAAAATGTTTAATATCTCAAAGTGATTTGTTGAGAGAGAATTTATTTGTAAAAAGCCTGTTTGCGGTGAAAACCGTTAATACACGAATTCAAGTCTACATGAATGATTTCTTATATGTTATATTTTTTTAGGGACACCAAAATCAAACTTATGTTGGGCAAAGAAATATTGCAGCAATATTGGTGCCAGAAAGTACCAGTGCAACATTTGTAGTAAAATATTAACTTTGCCAGTCGGGCTCTTTGGTAATATGAAGCGTCACATTCGTAGCAGACATCCTTGTGTTTATGATAAGGAAATGAATGATGTGGTTGGTACCAGGATCGAAAATGTAGATCTCCCGGCTTCCGAGACCAAAGAGTATTTAGAAGACGTGGAACAGTTTACAACAAATAAATCTGAAGAAGGAGGTGACGAGGAATCAGACCAAGAAGAGGCAGAATCTGAATTAAAACAGGCCGGCAGTGGAACCGTGTTGAATGAAGCTGATCCCATTTCTGAAGAGAAAATTAAAAATGTTTGTGCTAAAAGTGTTTCGGAAAGAAGTAAGTATCAATACAATGTTTGTTATGGTGTATTTGTTTATAGAGATATGTATATTGTTTCTGTGTCCTTAGCATTTACTAAAGAAAATATTTAATATCTGAACGTGATTTGTTGAGATATAATTTATTTGTAAAAAGCCTGCTTGCGGTGAGAACCGTTAATACAGGAATTGAAGTCTATATTAATGATTTCTTATAAGTTATATTTTTTTTAGGGAGACCAAAATCAAACTTATGTTGGGCAAAGAAATACTGCAGCAATATTGGTGGCAGAAAGTATCAGTGCGATATTTGTGGTGAAATACTAAATCTACCAATTGGGCTCTTTGGTAATATGAAGCGTCACATTCGTAGCAAACATCCTTGTGTTTATGATAAGGAAATGAATGATGTGGTTAGTACCAGGATTGAAAATGTAGATATCCCGGCTTCTGAGACCAAAGAGTATTTAGAAGACGTGGAACGAGTAAATACAACAAATAAATCTGAAGGAGGAGGTGACGAGGATTCAGACCAAGAAGAAGCAGAATCCGAATTAAAACAGGACGGTAGTGGAACCGTGTTGAATGAAGCTGATCCCAATTTTGAAGAGAAAATTAAATATTTGTGTACTAAACCTATTTCGGGAAGAAGTAAGTACCAATACAATCTTTCTTATCATATATCTGTGTGTGAAAATATGTGTATTGTTACTACATCCTTAACATTTGTTTAAGAAATTGCTTTATAAAGTGTTCACATTTTCTTTTTAGAAAGAGCATGGAATCCTTTGTGGAATTTCTTTGAAGTGATTGAAGATAATCATTGGTACATGTGTTTGGGTTGCCACAAACTGATATCGATTTACCCTCACAGTGTCCGTAATTTGAAGCGACACGTCAGAACGCAGCACAAGAAACAGTACGAATACATGATGAAATATTTGACATCGCGCAAAACTTGTATTGAAAGTAAGTAATTGCCGTAGATATTATTATTATAGAAATTAAGAAGCAAAACTTTGTAATGAAACGCATGGTTTCTTTAGAGCAGGCTTGCTACTGAGTGGTTTCCATTGTATTGGTAATGTCCATTGAACTTACTCTCATAACTAGGGCTCGGATAAATATGCGATATAAACAAAATATGTACGTACATATAATGCGGGCAAAAAATTCTGAAATGAGATAAAAACATGTAGATAAATACAACTTTTTTACAAATAAACAACAATTAAAATCGACAATTTTATTCTTCGTTACTCTCTTTTGCATTCCTCTTATTGTTAATTTTATTTTATTTTATTTAGGATAACAGCAGCCATACTTAATACAATTCTAACCTTAACATACGTTTAACACTTTTTGGATATGTCAATTACAATTATCCACTAAAATAATTATTGATAATGGAGGTATTATATTAAGAATAAAAACAAAAAATAAGGATAAAAATTTTAAATGAAATTGAATAACCTGTCTCTTATAAAAGAAAAACAATACGAGGAAGTGAGAGAAAAAGAACATTAAAATAAGAACAATACAGATTAATAATTATATATATATAAAAATATAATGCATACATATAATACATTAAACATATATACACAACACTATTATATATTTAATATAGAAATATATAACGTCATACTACCATTTTGTAAAAAACACAATTATATGTATTTTTTTATTTCTAAATTTAAACTCCGATCGTAACAACGCTTTATACTCGTATTGGCTTGAATGATCTTTTGATGTCACAGGATGTGACTGGAGCTTTTTTTTTTTTTTGTTAATCCGGGGGAATCTGCAGCCTGCTAACTTAACTTTGCATAACTTCGCAAGTGAGTATGGCACGTCCAGGTTGCCTTCTAATCTTCCTCGCCGTACACTGTTAATATTTTTTAGTATATTAAACCATCTGTGCTCAGCGACCGGTCTGGAAATCTTCGATATATATTTCCAACTTGAAACGCTATGGTTGTTTATCCGTCGGTATTTTTAAGTAAGAGAAAACACAAAGCTATTTAATTTTCATATTTGAGAAGCCACAGGTACGTAAAAAATAACACGCGAAAATATCATGTAATATTGAAATTTTTGATTAATGCAAGTTTTGTAAAGCAATATAGCTTAAACATATATAAGGAAAAGTATGGAAAATAGAAGTCACTTTTTTATTCAAAATATCATTATTTATATACAAAACAAATTAAGGAATGTCAATTATTTAAATCCAAAATTTGTAATTACTAACGACCTATTAATCCGGATCCTACGTATAACATAATTGCGAACTTTGGAAGATTAAAATTATTATCCTTGTATTCAGCTTCTTAGCCATAGAAATATGATCTTCTCTATTCCAGAAGCAGAAGAAGAAGCACCACTTAGCTTTGACAAATACTATTTCGACCTTGAAAGCGAAGGACAGTACAAATGCAAGGAATGTTCAGAAGTAATACAGAGCACCGAAGAAGACCAGTGGTCCTTATTTAACCACATCAAAGATAATCACCCAGACCAGATATTGGCGTATCAGGAGGAAGAAAATGCTGAATACAACATTGTGATTCTCAAAAATGATGATGTTACAACGATTGGACAGTGAATTTATGGATTTTCGTTAAAGGTTTTTGGATTGATTACGTTCTTACAAAGGATGCCTGTGTAGTACTCGTATATTATGTGCGTTAGTATATTAAACTAAGTGTTTTCATAGGTTTAGGTCTTAGGTTGGTCAGAGCAAAGACGATTTGTTTAATTGAGGAGTTTCGGATGGTTCAAACTCACGGCGTGCTTTGCGTATTCAAATACCTCCTTAAGGATTTTTTAGTAGCAGTAGCGCATGGGACTTGTAAAGTTATGTCTCAGGGTGTCGAGCGCAGTGGCAGTGCTCCTCAGATCTTTGTGATTTGAAGCTCTGAGTGGTACTGCAACTGTTATGGATAGGCGTGTCGCTTACCATGAGGCGCAGGACTTGTTCGTCCCGTCACTTAGTTATTATATGAGAAAACAATTATAAAATATATTATATTATATTATTATTACTTATTTACCGAATTAATTTTTCAGGTGGCTTGGATTATAAATTTATACCCACATTGAAAGGCAACCGTTTACTTATGCTTAACGGGTACACATATAATAGCAGTAAACCAAATTATTTCTATTGCTCTAAAAAGAAAGGCGGTTGTAAGGCTAGACTTAAACTCGGGTGGAGCGGTGAAATTGTCTGTGGAAGCTTTGAACATTCTCATGCCCCACCAAAGTATCATGTTACAAAATCAGGACATTATGTTAAGGTTGGATACTGAAATTGCGAATTAACTTCGTAAGCTCAAAATTTAACTTCACACGTTGTAAATAAATACCATAGTATATGATTTTACTCATGTAACGAAAGAAAGAAAAACGTTTATTCATAAAATTTAGTCACTATACACACTTAAATCTAATACTTAACGTTAAAACAACAAATGGTTGCGTGATTTTAAGGTACTAAGTGTGTATAGTGGCGCAAAAGAAGAAAAGGATACGACTCAGCAGTGTAGTATCTCAGGCGAGACAGTGTGATACATGTATACATACAAAACTACAAGTAAATATACATAATTATATATAAGTTAGAAGATAAAAGATAGGAGCATCCGAGGAGCATCAGAGCATACGCTTGTTTTCTATCATGCCTGATATTAAAAGCTACCCTCAAATACTCTTCTTTTATGGAATGGCGTTACCAATAAATAACTATTAACACTGCGTGAATTATAGGAATAAGTACGCCATTTTAACTTGGCATATAGATAAGGTGGACTTTTGTATCTAACAACAGAGTGCATCAATGTAAGAAAATCCAAATTCATTCTAGATTCCATATTAAGAATACCGTGTAGGTTTAACACAGGTGTTATGTGACTACAGTTCGACGTTTCTTCTATTTATCGAACACACAATTCGTTACTGCCGGCTGGTCGAGCTCTGGCACACCCCATAATCTAAACCGTCACATGCCGCCGATCGAGGCCGACCCCACAGTAGGTTGGTTATAGGGCTCGTACATTATACAAGTATATTCTAAGAGAAGGAATATTGATTACATGAGCGTGACGTTTCAGTGGTCATGTTTAGGATAAAAAAGGTTATTTTTAAATCGTGGTACATAACGTAATTAAGCATCTGTTAATTTAATACTTAGTATTTACGAAATAACATCTTATACCCTTTGTGGTTGTCCTTGCCATCCGCGACGCAGTGTTTCCCTAGTGCGGGGCTATGTTGAGTGTGTGTGTTATTATTATATTATGAGTAATCATCATCGTGTTTTATTAAATTTTAATTACGATATATTAAATATCTTTATAAAATAAATATTTAGTTTATTGTTTTTGCGAACTCATATTATTTTAAGTCGATATGTGACCAAATCCTTTTAAAGAACTCGAAATACAAATAAACGACCAAATTTTCTGGCAGAAAAGTCAGTGTTGATGACAATTGGGTAACCAACATATTATAATCACTGTTCTATGGTGATATTACAAATATTACAGGATGCACAACATAGGAGAATTCAGGCAAAGATGATTAAGTGTTAAGTCAATTTCATTGTAATGATCTTACTCTCTGTAATTTCATCCTGTATTTTGAATTAAATTTTTCAACACAATGCGTTGTTTTTTTAACATTAATCAATAATCGTAACTTGCCATTTTATGGATATATAAATGGGATAAAATTATTAATGATAAATATACACCTTTCTCCCCAAGGAAACAGCAGAAGAAGTGTCATTTGGAAATTCTATGAGAAGCTTGGATCGACTAGACAACGTTGCAAACTTTGCTCCAAGATATTGAGTAGAAACATGGCTAGGCATTTGCGTTTGAGGCATCGAAAAGTTTGTCGATGAATTCATGATAGTTTGACATAGAATAAAAGCCTGTTATCTGTGAGCACCTTTAATACACAAATTGAAGTTTACATTAATGATTTGTTTTAATATGTTACATTTTTTTAGAGCTACCATAGTCATACAAATGTTGGGTAAAGAAATACTGCAGCAAAATTGGTGACAGAAACTACCAGTGCGATATATGTAATAAAACACTAGGTCTACCAATCCGACGCTTTAGATTACTATGTCAAATTCGTAGCAAACATCCTTATTTTTATGATCAGGAAGTTAATGATTTGATTGGTATCAGGATAGAAACTGTAGATATCCCAGCTTCTGAGACCAAAGAGTATTTAGAAGACGTGGAACAGTGTACACCAAATAAATCTGAAGAATCTGAAGAAGGAGGTGATGAGGACTCAGCCCAAGAAGAAGAGGACTCCGATTTAGAACAGGTTGATAGAGGAACTGTGTTGAACAAACCTGATCCCAGTTTTGAAGAGAAAATTAAAAATGTTTGTACTAAACGTATTTCGGAAAGAAGTAAGTATCAATACAATGTTTGTTACCATGTATTTGTTTGTGGAAATATGTGTATTGTTTGCATTTACTAAACAAAATTTTAATATCTCAAAGTGATTTGTTGAGAGATAATTTATTTGTAAATAGCTTGTTTGCGGTGTGGTTTCATCCTGTATTTTAAATTAAATTTTTCAATACAAAGAGATGAGTTGTTCTTTTAACCCAAATCAATAGTCGCAACTTTTCATTTTATTGATGTATAAATGTAATAGAATATTAATAAAAAATATACTCTTTGTCCGCAAGGTAACAGAAGAAGGAGTGTCCTTTGGAATTTCTATGAAGAGCTTGGATCGACTGGACGACGTTGTAAACTTTGCTCCAAGATAATGAGTAAAAACATGGCTAGGCATTTGCGTTTGAAGCATCCTAAAGTTTATCAACAAATGCAAGGTAGTTTGGAAAAGAGGAAAAAGCCAGCTTACGGTGAGCACCTTTAATACACGGATTGAAGTTTACATTAATGATTTCTTTTAATATGTTACATTTTTTTAGAGATACCAAAGTCATACAAATGTTGGGTAAAGAAATACTGCAGCAAAATTGATGACGGAAAGTACCAATGCGATATATGTGATAAAATACTAAGTCTACCAATCGGACGCTTTAGTAATATGAAGCGTCACATTCGTAGCAAACATCCTTGTGTTTATGATCAGGAAGTTAATGATTTGATTGGTATCAGGATAGAAACTGTAGATACCCCAGATTCTGACACCAAAGAGTATTTAGAAGATGTGGAAGAGTTTACAAATAAATCGGAAGAAGAAGGTGACGAGAACTCAGCCCAAGAAGAAGCAGACTCCGAATTAGAACGGGTTGATAGCGGAACCGTGTTGAATGAAGCTGATCC